TCAGGTGCCGGAGGAAGTTGACAGTGTGTGTGTGTATGTGTGTGGGGGTGTGTGAGAAAGTGCGGATCCCTGTGTGTGTGAATGGCTTGTGAATGTGGGCCCGTGGGAGTGTCCTCCACACAAACTCGCTCATTGACGGAAAGTCCACAGCCCGCTGAGCACAGTGGCGGGCGGCGAGAAGGGACCAGGCAGAGGTGAGCTGGTCCCTCAAGGCATTCATTGTCTCTCGGTGGAAGTGGGACCCAGCCAAGTGCAAAGTGATTCGGGAACATGAAAGATGTAAAAGCAGACAGTGGACCAAGGGCGACCAAGTGCCACGCGAGTGTGGACGGAGCTGTAGGCACTGTGGGAGAGGGCAGGGACAGGCTTGCCGAGGGAACCCAGCTGATGAGGCGACTTGAACAGCTTCCACAGAGGGGACACCCAGGAACTGGTGGTCTAAGGTGGGGACGGCGCGCAGGTGCAGGGGAGGGGGAAGAGGTGGGGACAGGTTGGCAGGAAGATACAGTGAACCCTCGCCACTTTGCGCTTCGACTTCCGCGGCTTCACTCTATCGCGGTTTTTGCGTAACAGCGCCTGCTCTGTCATTACTGCCACTGATTGGCTCATACTGTACACGCTTGATGCCATAAATAATATAATAAATAATAAATGATAATTGTAACGTCCAAAATGTTTTACTGTATTTTCCCTTTTTCGTTTAATAAATTGGGTAATACGAGTGTAATGGTGACTAAAGGGTGTTTTTTCATGTCCTCTATGCTCTAACTACGAAAATATTTGATTTACAAATAAGGAATCCTACTTCGCAGAATTTCATTTATCACGGTAGGGTCTAGAACCGATTAACCGCGATAAACGAGGGTTCACTGTATAACTCAGGTGTTCCGTGGGAGTGGCCAGGTTGGCGTGAATGAGAGTGGAGGGCTCCATGGGTGTCTGGGCGGTGGGAGTGGTGGGTGCTGTGAGCTGTGAGTGCACACCCTGGAGGTAGGCCCCCTGGGGAAGGTCACTTGGTTCCCATAGGGCGCTCTAAGGAAGACACCATCATGGCTCTTATGGGTCTGGGGCATGGAAGGTGCCACGTGGGGGCCCACACTGTGAAGCAGACGGGAGAAGGCCCGCAGAGGAGGCTTGAGGGAATAGAAACTCCAAGTCTGAGGTGGGGACAAATGTCAGAGAAACTGGGCAAGCCCTGGCCAGAGCCTTGTCTCTCTTTCAACTTCACACTTTGCCCCTGCGACCTCCCTCTCTCCGGACATGTCTCCTTGGCATCTGGGACACTCCCTATGGCCCCGGCTATCCTCAGAGGTTCTTGCAATGGGTCTATGCCTCTGGGAGGACAAGCACACGGTGGTCCTCGGAATGGAGCCCCGCCCCCTGCCCCCTTCTGCACACACACACCATTGGCACCCAGAATTTTCTGAATTAATACGGAAGGCATGGACAAATCCTGACAGGCACGGTGCAGGGAATGGTGATGTAGAGGAAGGGGCTCTATCTAGGCAGGATGTGTCGGGCCCGAAGACAGGGATTCCTCAATGAGAAATCCCACCACTCTTCTCCCAGGGTCCGTTGCTGTGGTCGTGGTAGCCCTTATCTGATGGAACATCTCCATCAAGACATTTTGGGGGGTTGGCCTGGTGAGTCAAGCCTCCCTCATCACATCTGCCTGTTCAGACGTTCATCTGTTAAAACCCTGATGTGAGGAGGGGTTGGTGAGCGGGGAGGAGCTTTGTTTAGATTGTAGGCCAACAAATCCAATCTTGATGATACAGGAACCGAGGCCCAGAGAGGTTAGGTGGTTTGTCCAAGGCCACACAGCTAGCATTTGTACATCAAGATTTCCTCCTGGGGTGGTAAAGTCTTCTCCCTCATTTGTTGACTAGGTGTATGACGTGATCCTTGGTTACCTCCACAGATATGTGCTTGTCTGCTTACCTTTTCCCTTCAGCTCCTAGAAGCGGTTCCTACTGGTTCACCCAGGGGGCACAAGTGGCTAGTTACACCATACACACCCCTAGTACCTCCCCACCCCTCAATACCTTCCCATGAAAAGAAAACTGGATCAACGCAAGTCCTGGGGCCTGTATTCCCTGGCAGGGCCCCATGTCCTGGCCTCTGGAGCTCCATGAGTCTCCCGGCATGGTCCAGGTGCTTCAGGCAACACTAGGCCTTTGGAGTTCTAGCATTGTGCAAGAAGGACCTGTCACTTCTTTTGCAATGACCCAGGATTCATCCAGGAACAGATAAGACCTTCGCTGTCCCGTGACTTTCTACCTTTGGTGGTCTACTGTTCTTCCCCTTTCCCCCCACTCTGGTCAGTTCTGCCCGCTACTCTAGATTAGTCATCATTAACATGTGGCTTCTTTGTTTGTTTGTTTTTTTTTTTACAATCTCTTTTTGTTTGTTTTTTACAATCTCTCGCGAGTCCCCATGGTTGATTCATCTAAGCCAAACCTTGTCCTACCGTTCAAGAACCCCCATAACCTTCTTCTTATCCCTGCCCCTCACCGAGGGTGCTCCTTCTCACTCTTTAATCTTTGCAGCGCCAAGCCTTCCCTCACCGAGAATGCCTTCTGTCTTTCACTCAGTGATTCAAGTGACTTCCTTGTGCAGGGCCCAGCTCACACCCCACCTTTCCCACATAGCCTTGGGGTGCTATACGTCACCTAGCTCCAGACCACCATCTTCCAGATGTGCACATTGAGGCCCAGAGAGGCTCGTTGGCTTGCTTAAAAGTTAAATCACTAGCTTGAGACAGAAGCCGGGGTTTCCTCACTCTGCCTGGGAAAATCCCTCCCTTGCTAAAGGGGCCATGGCATCCTGGAAGGAGTCGGATGATGGGAAGGAGCTCATCCTTCAGGACACAGGATCGCCAGCCGGACTTACAGTCAGAACTGCACAATTAAGCTCTTAATTATAAGCTGCTCTGCATTGTTATTTAATTGTTTCAAGATGGTAAGCTCCTGGAGGGCAGGGGAAATGTTCTGTGCCATCCAGCTGTGTCCTCTCTGGGGGCCCTAGCCCAGTGCTAGGCACATGAAAGGCACTGTATTCTACAATACAGACCGGGAGCCTGGCCGGAGCTTGGCATCTGGGGGAGAAACTTGTCACCTCTATGTGGCGGCAGGGCACATAAGAGCACAGAAGCCAAGGGGACCTGGGGCACATGCAGCTCCAATTTCTAAGTTCTCCGGTGGGTGCCAGGCAGGGGGTCAGGGGTGCCACACGAAGTCAGCACTGTGGCACAGATGCACAGAAGCCCCAAGTGGTTTCCAGGCCCCGTGTGTGAACATGCCCAGCTTCCTCGGCCGGCCTGCAAGGTCAGAGGACACCAGTTCAGGCCTTTGCGAAGCACACAGGCCACCGCCTTTATGAAGGGAGTGATCAGACCTCAGGGCAGAACCGGAAACCATCTTTTCACTGGCACCCTCCCTTGCTTTCTTACCCTTTCCCCAGCTTCTCTTAATGCCACGGTCCGGTGTGCTTTCTCCTCCCTCAGAAAGTGCTGGATCCTGTGGGGGCTCTTTAAGGTTCCCCTGCCTTGGGGCATTGGCCTTGTGACTTGGAGTCTAAGGGCAGCACCAATGGGCTCGGGTTCCGTCTTATTTGACGAGAATCCTACGTGTGGCTGAATCTTCTGGGCTGGAGTGCTTGCACCTAGTGCCCCCAAATCAACAGGTGCTTCGGGATGTTCTAGGTGCAAAGGGTACCCGGGGGTGGGGGGTGGGGCCTGGCGTTCACCTTGGCCTTAGCAGTCATATATATCTATATGTGTGGGTATTATATATGTGTGTGTGTGTATACACACACACGGCTCCCTTTGCAGCCAAACTTAAAAGTGTGTCTCTGGCAAAGCCCTCTGAGAAGATTTTTCAGATTGGTGAGGCACAGGGTGCTGAAGGCAGCCGGCTAGGGTTCACTGGTGGAAAGGTCGCTCCGGCTCAGCTTCCCGGTGGCCCGGAGTGATTGGCGGCCCCAGCTCAGCTCACAGTCAGAAGCGCACATCGCTCCGTGGGCACTTTGGCTCGAACACTCCTCTCCTCTGGAGCCTTGGGCATCAGGATGGTAACGATCCCATCCCTGGCTTCCCAGTGGGTGGAGGTTGGTCAGGGTCACTGGGTAAGAGGACATGGCTGACGATACCCACCCACTCAACCTTCTGCTAACCTGGGGGATGTGCTCACAGCACCCTCAAAGTGGTGTCTTCTCTTCCAACCCGGTCTTCCCTTCCCTAACACTGGGGAGGAGAGAGAGTGCACAGGGAGGGCTTTCTGTCCTATTTCTCTACCCCCTCCCCACACACCCTCCCAAAGAGAAATCTGAGCATGGTGTGGCTCACATGAAGCCAGGTGAGTCACCTGCCACACTGCAGGGTGGCCAGGTGTCTCCAGCTCCTCTTGCTGCCTCAACCAAGCTCTGGGAGGGCAGCAGCCAAGCAGAGCTCGCGGAGGGCTGCTCGGAGGGGCTGATGGGAGGAGGGCCACTGGGGAAGTCTGCCCACCACTGAGACTAGGCGATGGCAATGGCACTGGCAGACCGGGCAATTAGCTGCCAATGAGGGCAGACCAGCAGGGTGGCATTCCAGGGCCCTGCTGCCCAGAGCATTCTCAATTACAGGGTACAATTATCTGCAGAGGTGGTATGGGGCAGCTGCCTGCACATGCTACCCATGACACTGGGTGGTGTGGTGGGTGTGCTGCTCTCTCTGGTCCCAGCTGCTCCCCTTGGGACCCTCTCTTCGATGTGTACACCCACTCCTCCTCCCCATGTCTCCATCTTGTTCTATGGAACTACTTCTGTAGTGGCACCCGCATCTGAGGCCAACGTCCCCTCTAGGACAGCCATTCAAGTTCAGTTCCAAGAACCCCCACCCTTGACTCTAGCTTCATGGTTGGCTGTGCACAGGGCTGGGGCTCAGGTTCCAAATGTCCGCGAATGCACTGTGGATCCAGTGCCGTCCCAGAATCGTCCTCAGCTTCAGCTGGGGCGCTTACCTCAGGTCTTATTTTCTTTGGGCAGGAGAGAGATGGGCTTTCTTCCTTGGAGGTAGATGAAGAACTGGTAGCGGTGGAAGCCAGTATGTGCTGGTGGGGACGGCGGATGGTAGGCTGTCGGTGGAAGAGGAGAAGTGGTTGGCTTTACTTCCCCGGGCCCATGAGTACCACCCATGAGTACTACCCACCACTACTCCTTACTCTGCAGGTCCACTGGCCTGCTTCGGGGATGGGGGGAGGGAGTGCCAACTCTATGTATTTGCATAGCTCTTGCTGACCACCCTGGAGACCCCAGGGGTGGGCTCCCCCATCGCAAGCAACTAGGGCTGATGTTTGGCAGGATCACATCTTCAGCATCTTTGTCTCAGAAGCACTTGGGTTTTCTTTGTTGGTAGGGGGCGGGGGCGGGGATGGGTGGAAAGGCTCTGGGCTCGTGTGGAGGTCTGGGGAGCCAGCAGCGGTGGCGACGGGGCTGCTGAGGCTTCCTGGGTGAGTGGGTGGCGGCTCTGTCCTCTTCTTCGGTCTCTCCTGATGGATTTCCTGCCTCCAGCCAAACCCTCTTCCTCCGGGTGTCGATGTGAGGGTGTTGGCAGGGTTTTTTTATTTATTTTCTCAGCATTTCCATATGAACTCAATCCACAAAGAAGCCAATTTCTTGGCGGGATCCAGAGGAGCTGGAAGTGGTTACAGGGGTGGGTGGGACTTGGTTCAAAGGTTTGATCATGGAGGCTGTAGGCTCTGGGTGCTCTGGGCAATGGGGAGCCCACTCAGGCTCTGGAGCGGAAAGCGGATCTCCGTCCAAAAGGCGGGCCCTTTGGGGGGCTGGGGTAGAGGGGAGTATTCCTCCCCACTCCCCCCCACCCATGTCCATATAGGGTCCCAGGGTTTTGCTGGTGCTGGACTGGTCTGGAAAATTGGGTCTCTTTTCAAGAATGCTGTGCCACTGCCCAGTCCTGGTGCCCTCTCTGAAGCTCACTCTCCAAGGAAGGGCATCGGCTGGAGCCAAGACTCCTCCTGGAGGGACATGAGGACTGAGCACTTGCCACCTGGAGGCTACTAGTGGGAGGGAGCGTGGTGCTTCATGCCTCTCCTGCTCCTCTTCCAGTCACCCAGCAAGAGAGCAACCAGCGCTCCTGAGCAGCTGGAAGAGCTCCTCACTGTGCACTTCCGGGCCTCCATTGCCAACAACCAGGGGACTTCCTCACTGGTCGCCCTGCCCAGGGCTTTTGGAAGGCAGACCAGCTGTGGGTGGTCAGAGTGAGAAGGGTGCTGGGCACGCTGGGGGCTGTGGGGGTTGTGGTTTGTGTTGACACTCATGCGCAGCCTGGAGGAGCCGAAGCTGCTTTTTCCAAGCGTCCCTGTCAGTGTAGCGGTGTAAATGCAAGAAAGTCAACCTTTTTTTTTTTATAAGCACCGTCTATGCTGAGAAAGACTGCAGACACAGGCGGCGGCCAGGGTTCCTCCGTGTGCATGAGTGTGGGGAGGGCAGACGCCAGCGGGCCAACTTTTGGTAAGGCAGGTGGGTGTGTGGGTTGGTGAATGCCCGTGAGGGTGGGCATATCTCGCGATGTCTGTAGATGATGTGGCTGAGTCTGCAGTTAGAACTTGCTGGCATGACCCTTGCCCAATAGAGACCCTGCCCTCAGAGGAGGGGGAGCCTTAGACTCCTGACTAAGGCTTTTTGTGAAAAGGTTCCCCGTTCCAAAGTAGGGATGCGAGAGAGGAGGAGGAAGAGATGGGGCCCACGCAGGCTGAGCCAGGACTCTGGGCCAGTCCCCGCCGCCGACATCTCATTAATTCCTACCACAGCTGGATAAGGGAGGTGTTATCTGCATTTTATGGATGAAGAAACAGAGGCGCTAAGAGGCTAAGCCAGGCACGTGGTAAGGAGTGGAGCTGGGATTTACATCTAGGCCTTTCTGGTGCCACAGCCCATAAAGCCTAGTTCATTTTGCTTTTCCCTCAATCTTTGGAAAGTCAGCTCAACACGGAGTGCTCTCTTGCAGTTGTGTTAGGGCATACGTACTGTACATACGTACTGTACTCTCCCGGTGGGGAGCTTAGAGAGAGAGAAGTGGTGAGAATGGGGCAGGAAGAGGTGGGCAGCTGACAAAAGGGAGGAGAGGAGAGGAGAGAGGCCCGGCCACTGCAGGCCAGGCCACTGGCCACATTGCACTGCGGTTGTGAGCATGGCTCCAATCAGACCTCCTTGCACTTTGATGCTGGCTCCATCCACCCCTCACCCCCCACCCCCCAGCTGTGTGGCAGCAGGCGGGTCCCTTTCCTGCACCTCAGTCTCCCTTTACAATGGAGATATTGGTTGCAGCTATCACCAAAGGTTGCTGTGAGGGTTAGATCAGACAACACAAGTATATATTTTGGGGGATCAATGCTTGTTTGGCACCTTGATGGTGACCCATGAAGGGGATGTGGTGTCATTAACATCGCCCAGCACTTATCACTTGGATCAAGAGGTGGTTGGGCAAACAGAACAAGGGCTTACTGCAGGGCTTCTACCTAGGACAGGTGTGCGCCAGGGTCCTGTCATCATGCTTATTCACTCTGTACCATCAGAGAAGCTGGTTAGATGAAGAAGCGTGTGGCATCAGGATTGGAGGAAGGCTCGTGAACAACCTGTGGTATGCGGATGACACAACCTTGCTTGCTAAAAGTGAGGAGGTCTTGAAGCACTTGCTGATGAAGATCAAGGATTGCAGGCTTCATTACGAAGGACAGCTCAGGACAAGGAAAACTGAAATCCTCACAACTGGACCCACGGGCAGCACCGTGACACCCAGAGGAAACGATTACAGTTGTCCATGATCTCATCTTGCTTGCATTCACAACCAGTGCTCACGGAAGCTACAGTCAGGAGCTTGATCAAGCCCCGGATTGCATGGGGGATAGATCTGCTGGACAAGACCTCCTTAAAGTGTTGAAACACAAGGCAGTTGCTTGGAGGACTGAGGTGTGCCTGACCCAAGTCATGGTATTTTCAATCACCACGATGCCCGTGAAAGTTGGGCATTGAATAAAGTAGACCAAAGAAAAATAGCTGCATTCACACTATGCATCTGTTGGTGAAGAATATTGAAAGACCACGGACTGCTAAAAAGACAAACATAATCTGTCTTGAAGACGTGCAGTCAAAGTGCTCCTTAGAGGCAAGGGTGATGAGACTTGGTCTCACGAACTTTGTACACGCTATCAGGAGAGACCAGACCTTGGAGAAGGGCATCATGCCTGATAAAGTGGAGGAGCGGTGAAAAAGAGGAAGGAGGCCCCCCACGAGACGGACTGACACTGCGGCTCAAACACAAAACCCGTTGTGAGTGTGGTGGTGCGGGATGGGCAGTGGTTCATTCCGGTTCACATAAGGTCGCCGTGGGTTGGAGAGGACCGGAAGGCACTTAGCACCAATGGTTTCTTGACATATCCTCCATCCGGGTCTACAGACTTCTGAAGGTGGCCTTGGTTCACACGGCAGTTTCGGCATCCTCAAGGGACTCAAATTTGGTTCTTCTGAAATATTCTTTGACTTTTGGGAACGAGAAGCGGGCTGAAGCAGCAAAGTCACCTGGCAATAGTACAATCGCTCAACGACAATCCAATCACCCAATAAAGGCTATGTGTCCTTAACAAGCAATAGTAGTATGATTCCTGTGATCATCAAGGTGTGGCTGGGGTCACACCTCACCCCAATACCTTCTGGAGAAATGGGCGCTGGAAGATCTCACTCACATGACAGCTCCTGGCCCTGAATCTGTCCTTTCTTCAAGTCCGTACCCTGAAATGAGAGACAGGTATGGAGATGAGTTACTCCCGGGGTAGCAGGAGATCCCTATCGCGACACTTTCACCCGAGTGGCTTCTGATGCGTTGTTTCTCTCTTGGAACAAGTGGGATATGGACAGGGAGGGAGGCTAATCCTGGGAGACGTGTTAGAACAGGGCTGTGGGGACCTGGAATGGGTGTCTGGGGGGTGGGGTGTCGTGGTGGTCTGGGTTAGAGGACAGACCCAGATCTCTTCACATGGCCTGCAGGAGGGGGTGCAAACTTCCTGAGCACCGAAGACTCGGGAGAGGGCCCTTCTGAAGGACCTCCCTGCACGCTCACATCACCTGCACTTTGAGACTAGGCACGGGGCATGACCCACCAGCCTGCTTGCTGAGAGGCAGGGAGGCAGGGAGGACAATGGCAAAGGCTGAGCAGCCGTGGACTCTTAGGCCAATGGCCATCTTAACAACCAAGAGGGAAAGGGCAGAGGGAGGGAGGAGGGGCCTCCTTGGATTCTTGAGGCAGCTGCTTCCCCAGATGCATATCGACTCAATCCACACAGCCCCCCACCCACCGCCAGGCAGATTCTTAGGCCCCTGGTACATACAGCCTCAGTTTCCCTCCCTCTCTCCGTCTCCCTCCCTTCTCCTCTCTCTCCGCTCAGTGTCTGTGGGATAATGAGGTGATCCCGGGGGCGGGTGCTAATTATTGTTTGTGTAGGACTGGGAGATGCTCAGATGAAAGGGACTGGAGCCAGGCCCCTAGGTGCCACTGCTTGGGACCCTGAGCCAGGCCAGGGCGCCCTGCGGCCCTTAGGTGTGGGATTTTATAACCTTAATGATAGTGATTAAGGGAGCGCTTATTTGATTCTGCCAACACCTAACTGTGTCCTGGCCACCTTTCCACCAAGCCCAGCCCCTCACCCTTCCCCTCGCAGGGGGATTGGTCTGCCAGTGCTTAAGGTGGGCCAAAGGCTGAGTGAGACGTGACACCCTGATTTGAGTGGTTGTGAGCAGGAGGGGTGGAAGGTGAGGTTTCACCTGGGCTCTCTGTGGAGAACCTCCCTGTCAGCTGGGTGACCCACTCCTTGACGGTGGGTTACCTTTGTCAAAACTGCAGCCCTGTTCTTTGATACCCGATGTCCTTTCAGGCTGTTTGAGACCCTTCCCGTCTTCCCCCACCCAACTCATTCCTGCCTGTCTACATCACCTGTGGTCATGATTAATGCGCAAGGCTGCTGACCCAAAGGTGGGAGGGTCAAGCCCACCAGAGGTACCTTGGGAGAAAAGCCTACTAATTTGCTTTGGAAACAGCAACCAGGGAAAACAGATGCACACGGGGGTCACCATGAGTTGGAAGCAACTCGAAGGCAAATTCTCAGGGGGCTGCCTGGGGTTGGGAGAAGAGGAGAGGGCCGCAGAGGCTTGTTGGAGGGGGGAGATCTCTTTCCTCTCACTTCGTCCTCTGACCCTCTGAGCTCTTGTCTGTCTTCCTCAGGAACATGCAGACGGCCTTCAGATGCAGCGACTTAGAGCGGTGCACACTCGGGTCTGGCTTTGTCCGCCTCTCAGCTTAGTGCCCGGACTCCCCCTTGCATGATCCAGGGCTGGCATCCAGCCCAGATGAGCTCAGAGTGGTGGGCACTGTGTGTGTGTGTGTGAGAGAGAGAGAGAGAGAGAGAAAGGGGATGGATAGGAATAGAGAGAGAGATTAGAGATTGATAGATATAGAGAGATGAGAGATAAGTAGATAGAGAGACACCACGCAGGGACACGGAGATATAGACAGGTATTGGAGAATGGTGGCAAAGGGGTGGGTAGACTAAACCTAGGGTAGCCTGGCCCTGCCTCCCCTGCTCTGCCCTCCCCAGCCTCCCCCTCACTCCTTCCCAAGTCCTCCCAGCCAGCGGTTTGTTTAAACCAAACAAGAACAACTCAAGCTGGCTGGTGTTTTTTTTTTTTTTTCTTTTCCCAATTTCCCACAAGCTTGGGTCCCACCCAGTGTGATAAACAGGCTTTTCTCTTCTGTTGTGTGAATGTAGGGATGGGCAGAGGTGGGGGCTTAGGACTTGCAAGGTCAGGGGTGGAAAGTCTGACTTGTATCGTGTCTCAGGGTGGAAAGGCTCGCCCCCGCCCCCCGCCCCCCTCCCTCACCCCTCTCCGGCTCCCTCTGGGGGGCCTTTTCTCATCTACTAGGGCCAACTTGGCAAGGGTGTGCACACAAACCCTTGGATTGGATTCATCAAGTTAAGTCACCAGGCCTTTCCTGTCTGCCTTCCCCAGCCCAGGGCATGATGGATTTAGACTGTTCAGGCTCATGCCTGGAGGACAGTGGTGGCTGAGTGGTAGCATTTCCACCTTCCATGTGGGAGACAAGGGATCGAGTCCCAATCAGTGCACCTCCAGTGCAGCCACCACCAATCTGCCCAGGGAGGCCTCTCGCATGTGGCAATGACCACAAACAGGTTTCAGCCGCGCTTCCGGACGAAGACAGGCTAGAATGAAAGACGTGATGATCTACTTCAGAGAATCAGCAAGCAACAACCACAACGGCCCGGGCGGCGTTTGGTCACCACAACTTGTGGCGGTTAACCACCGCTAGCAACAGGGACCGTGCTATGTAGGAGTGTTGGGTGCTGGTGCTCGCTGGTGGGGAGTGTAGGGAAGGAAGGCAGCAGGGTCCCCGCAGCAACCGTGTGGTCAGGCTGCTTGGTGGTTATTGACTTGCGTTGGGTTCTGGTCTTCCCTCATTGATCTGCCCCAGGGCTGACACTTCCTACCATGGCGTCAAACACTACCCGGAATGTGAGACAGCTGAGCCCCAGTGAGGTGAAGGAAGGAGCTTGTCCAGAGCACACGCCTGTCCACCCCCCCACTGAGCAAGGGCCCCCGAGACCACCTGGCCCCAGGTCTCACAGCCAGGATGGGGTTCACTCTTTGATTCACAGAGCTGGCCCTGGGTGTTTCCTGAGATGCGGTGACAACCCAACATGCCTCCGGGAAGCCATGTCTTCAGAAGACCTCCGTAAAAGACCCATAGCGTTCACGTGGTGCTCGAAGATGGCTCCCTCCGACAAAAGCATCAACTCCCCGAAAATGTCTTCAGCGGTGAAATATTCATACTGACTCTGTGGTCGCCTTAGGAGCTGGAACTCCCAGAGACGGAATGAGAAGTTGGGAAGGTTCCAGAGGAAGGAGGTCTGGGCAAGCCCTGTGAGTGAGGGATGCCCTGTAGGAGCCGCCCCCTTAACCTTGGGCTCCTTCAGCGTGACCCCACTGCCCCCGCCCCCCACCCCCCAAGCTCCCAGGTGTGCTTGCTTCTCATTTAAAGGCGCCCCGTCACAGACAATACGTCCTTCTCCTCATTATAAGGCAGGCTGACATTTCAAAAGAGAACTTGCCTAAATGCTAAGATTAAAAAAAGAAGACATGACAAACAGCGCAGAAATCGCCAGGTTTCCGATCCCCAAACACAGAAAAGGCCAAGCTTCCCAGGGAGCAGGGTGCTAGGGAGGAGAGCCCGAGCTGTTGGGGTGGCACTCCTGGGAGGTCATTCTGCACGGAGAAGGGGTCCTTGGGGAGCCAGGGTGGGATGGCCTTGAGATGGAAATGCTTCTCCCTAGCAGCATCTTCTGCACACAGGGAGTCTGATACCCATTGCCTTTGCAGCAAATGGTGGCAGCGGGCAGAAGGAAGTGGAGATTTCCCAGTAGATCCCAGAATACACAACTCTTAGCCAACGACCGAGGAGCAAATGCACTCACTGGCCTTGAGTCCATGTCGACTCACCCTGCAGGACAGCGCAGAACTGCCCCTGTGGGTTTGAGCATGCAACTGGCTTTGTGAGTAGAAAGCCCCGTCTTTCTCTTGTGGAGCAGCTGGGGGTTTTGAACTGCAGACCTTGCGGATCACAGCCCAATGTTACCACTCCATCACCAGTCAAGCTAGGGCTCCTGCTTGGCCCATGAGAAGTGGTCCCTAAACACTCCAGCTCCTTGTATCTTAGGTGGGATGACTCTCCGAGCATATTTTACTCCTGGGCCCAGGTGTCCATGGGGGCACTTAGTTGATCATGAACTCTCCAGTTGGATCCCTTTCACGTCCCTGCCTTGCGTGCCTTTCCCCTCACTGGGGTTTCCTTGTCCCATCTTGAAAAGAAACCACTTGCCCTAGAATCCTTGTCTCGGGCTCTGCTTAGAGAGGAAACCCAGCCTATGGATGGCACGTGTCAAGTAGACACTGACGGGACAAAGAAATCAAGGAGAGAAGACTCCTTGGTGAGAGGAGTCCCAAGCAGCCACAATGCCAGGAATGGGCGTCTCTACACCTGACCCTGGGTCTGGGTTCTTCCAGTGGGGGCACAGGAGGTCAGTCTCCTCTAGCCTGTCTGCGCGGAGACCGCCAGGGAGCTGCATTTTCTGAGGCCTCTTCTTGGACTTGAGGGAGCAGAGATGCAGTCTCCTCAGGAGTGAGCCCCATGGTCAAGGGCTCTTTGAGACTCAGTGCCTTGATTTAGGTTCGGTGAGTGACGACGGGGCTTGGCTCAATCCTGGTCCCAGCTCTGTTTCTTCATTCCCCTTCAATTACCTACAGCCAACTGCCCGCCCACCTGGGCGTTTGCAAAGGCTCCAGGTGCTCATGCTTGCTGACCCCCAGAGCAGAAGGTCAGCGGCACATTTCCTTGAGCTCGTGCGAGATGATTTAATCTCTTCACCCACCTCTTCCCATTTGGACAGGAGGAATCAATCACTTCTCCTTGGCCACACACCTTAGTCAGTGTGGGAAGTTTCACTTTTTGATCTCTGGAGACTCTGGGGGTGGAGCGGGGAGACTGTCCTCAGGAGAATCCCTAACTTGAAAAGTGAGGTGCAGAAGCATGTCAGGAAGGCAAAGGAGGCGGGGAGGGAGCAACTGAAGAAGGGGAAAATAGAAACAAGAGTTCCAAGCTTTCTGACACCGGCATCCAACAAGGAAGCTCCTGGCTGAGTCGCACAGCTGCCTGCAAGCTGCCA